ATGAAGAAGTTATGACATTTCTGGTTTTCCTTGGAGTATTCTTTGTTTTCGTGGTTGTGGCTTAAGGTTGGTGCCAGCGGTAGTACCGCGACCCTTAGCGGTAGTACCGCCGAAGCTCCCCAGCGGTAGTACCGCTCCAAGCGGTAGTACCGCTCTCCGAACGGTAGTACCGCTTGGGAGTTTCGGCCGTAGTACCGCTGTGCATCTGGGCTACTTCCGCCTCGATTCTCGAACGAAGTTTTTCATGTCGGGTTTTGCGGCACTAAGGGAGGTAGTAGGAGCGGTAGTACCGCCCTAAGCGGTAGTACCGCTCTTCCCTAGTGGTAGTACCGCCCTGGGGTCAGGGCCCTGGCAGCGCGACAGTACCGCTGGGTTGAGCGGTAGTACCGCTCGGAGCGGTAGTACCGCCCTTCCCTAGCGGTAGTACCGCTCTGTGCGGGGCTGGTGAGTGGGATAACGGTTGGATTTCCCCCCTCCTATTAAAGGGGGTCTTCTTCCCCAATGAACCTTATCCTTTGAGCTCGTGTTCTTCCCCCATTGTTGACCTTCTCCGAGCTTGCTATCTCTCAATCCCTCCATGGATTCTTGCTAGTTTTGGAGGGAAAAGAGAGAGGAGATCTAGATCCACATTTCCACCAATCACTTTCTCCTCTATGTGAGGGGAACCCCTTGGATCTAGTTCTTGGAGTTCTTGGTGTTCTCCTTCTTGTTCTTCCTCTCATTTTCCTCCCTAGCATTAGTTGCTTCGGTGGGATTTGAGAGAGAAGGACTTGGGCACTCCGTGTGCCCTTGCCATTGCATTTGTGCATCGGTTTGAGTTCTCCACGGTGATACGTGGAAGTTACAAGTTGAGAAGCTTATTTCTCTTGGGTGCTTGGTGCCTTTGAGCTTGTTCCTCTTGGGTGCTTGGGCTCCCTAGTCGGTTGGTGGTGTTCGGAGCTCAATCATTGTGGTGTAAAGCTCCGGGCAAGCGTCGGGGTCTCCAATTAAGTTGTGGAGATCGCCCCGAGCAATTTGACGGGTTCGGTGACCGCCCCCAAGGGTCTCCATTTGTACGGGTTCGGTGACCGCCCTCAAGGGTCCCTTAGTGGATTCACGGCATCTTGCATTGTGCGAGGGCGTGAGGAGATTACGGTGGCCCTAGTGGCTTCTTGGGGAGCATTGTGCCTCCACACCGCTCCAAACGGAGATTAGCATCCGCAAGGGTGTGAACTTCGGGATACATCGTCGTCTCCGCGTGCCTCGGTTATCTCTTACCTGAGCCCCTTTACTTATGCAATTGACTTTGTGATAGCCATATTGTGCTTTGTCATATATCTTGCTATCACATAGTTGCTTATCTTGCTTAGCATAAGTTGTTGGTGCACATAGGTGAGCCTAGTTGTTGTAGGTTTTGTGCTTGATAAATTAACCACTAGGTTTATTCCGCATTTGTTCAAGCCTAAACCGTAATTATTTTAAAGCGCCTATTCACCCCCCCCCCCCTCTAGGCAACATCCTCGATCTTTCACCAAGGTAACGAACCCCACAAATCCTATCAAAGCCTATCAGTTTATGCAACATTCTCTATAAGATTGCCTCAAAAGTGATTGCAACTAGACTGAAGGTGATATTACCCAATATTATATCAGATGAGCAGTCAGCCTTTGTTCCGAGGCAGCTGATCACAGATAACATCATATGTTCCTATGAATGTCTGCATCTTCTTAAGAGATCCAAGTCAAAAAGTAACAGTCATTGTGCACTCAAGCTAGATATGATGAAAGTGTATGACACGCTGTAGTGGGCTTACTTAAGGGCTATTATAGTAAAGTTGGACTTTGCAATACAATGGGTTGATGTGGTGATGAGCATGGTTTCATCAGTTTCTTTCGCGGTTCTTTTCAATGGAGAAGCTTGACAATTTCACACTAAAGGTATCAGATAGGGAGACCCAATCTCCCCTTACTTATTCTTGATTGTAGGAGAGTTCCTTTCACGCCTCCTAAAATCCAGTTCTCGGTCATCAATTGCAGGTATTAAGGTGGCCCCAACGGCACCCACCATTAACCATCTTTTATTCACAGATGACAGCTTGTTACTTTTCAAGGCTAATGTCGAGGGGGTAGTTGCAGTGTCAAACCTGTTGGATATTTATTCTAGAGCCTCTGGTCAGAGAATAAATCATGAGAAGCTCTTTTTTCAATAAAGGTTATCCAGGAGCAGTCAGGGAGGCGGTCAAGAATACCCTTCTTCACAATGAGTCATTGAGTGATCGCTATTTGGGAATACCTACAGATGTCGGCCACTCCAAGAACATGACCTTCAAATATCTAAGGGACCGGGTGTGGGAGAAGATAAAAGGATGGATGGAGAAACTTTTGTCAGCGGTAGGGAAGGATGTATTAATTAAATCTGTGGCTCAGGTTATTCTAGTTTTTTCCATGTCATATTTCAAATTACCACCGGGGCTGTGCGAGAATATCACATCTATCATTAGGCAGTTCTGGTGGGGTTCTAAGCAGGGCGAGAGGAAGCCGAGTTGGGTGGCATGGGACATTATGACTAGACCAAAACACTTGGGGGTAGTCCTGGCCATCTCAGGCCCGGCCCTAAAATCCAGGGCCTAGGCCCGATGGGCTTGCCTGTGGGCCGAGCTAGGGCCTGAGTTTTGAGCCCACCAGAAGGGCCTGGACGGGCTTGGGCTTGGCATACCGGCATTTCCAGGAAGAGGCCCGGCCCATGGCCCTAAGCCCTAAGGGCTTTTCAGGGCTTTTTACCAGATGGGCCGGGGTTGGGCTTGAAAAGTAGGCCCGATGGTAGGGCCTGGGAGGGCCCGAGCCTCAGTTTTTTGCCATGGGCTTTTTTAGGCCCGGCCCAAGCCCGGCCCGGCCCGGCCCAAGCCCGGCCCGGCCCGGCCCATGGCCAGATATACTTGGGGGTCCAGGATTTAACTTGGCTCTTTTTGCAAGACATGCATGGTGAATAATGACTGATCATACGTCTTTGAGTGCTAGGTTGTTGAAAGAAGTTTATTCCCCGGATTGCGATTTACTTGAGGCAGAACTAGGAGCCCATCCATCTCAGATTTGGCGAGCAATGCTTGACGACCGTAACATCTTAACCCAGGGAGTGATCTGGCGGATTGGAGATGGAGAGATCGCGGGTATTTGGACACACAATTGGATTCCAAGAGATAATTTCAAGCGGCCCATCACGTCTCTGGTTGCAAACCCCTCGGAGTTGGTAACTGATCTTATTGATGAAACGATGCCAGCATGGAGAGAGGACTTGGTTTGTTCAGTCTTTTCTCAGTTTGATACGGCCGACATACTGAAGATTCCACTTTGCACGAGGACGATAACTGATTTTGGGCTTGACATGAGGAGAGCCGAGGGAAGTTTACCGTGCGGTCAGCATACCAGATGATTATATACACCAAGATCAGCAGGGAGAATTGGATCTCTGAAAGGCCAGACTAAACATCAATGTTTGTGTAACTAGACTATATTACAACCCAACTAAGGATATGTGTGTACAACTAGTCTTCCTGCCAACTAAACATCAATGTGTGTGCAACTAGACTATGTTACAAGCCAATTAAACATCAATGTGTGTGCAACTAGACTACATTACAAGTTATGACAATTCATATGGGACCATGCGGACCAGATTGTGCAAGTCTGTGGCCATGCATGTGCCAACTAGGACTACTATGTGTGCAACTACAACTACTGTGGATGCAGCTTAAAAAAACTGGGTTGGAAAAATTGCACCATGCAGTAGTAAAGTTGCACAAAATAGTACTGAAGTTGCACAATATAGCGTCAAAGTTGGCATCAAATTTTTTTCGTCGAAACATACCCATGCAGGATCTAGTTTTAAAGATCTCGTGGCAAAGAATTCAACAGTGAAGACGGATCTGAATTCCGACCCGCAGTTTGTAAGATATGACTTTTTAAAAAATTGGAAAAGCAAAATAATTGTACGTGAAGCTGTTTCTTTCAAATCGGACTAACTAGTGTGAACACATTAAATACTAATAACAACATGCACTAGTAGACAAAAAAAACTCATGCGTGGCTAGAAAGCCCGGCCGCTCATTGTCTCCAAATAGTGCATATGCACTTTTTAGATTTTAGGGTAATCCGAATGTATGATACTTGTGGTATTTGATACACCAAAGTGGAATTTAGGGCCTCTTTGATTCGTAGGATTTTGAAAACGTAGAAATAGAAAAAATATAGGATTGCAGTGGCATGCCGACTTGAATCCTATAGGATAGCAATGAGTGTTTGATGGCACAGAAAAAATAAAGAAATTATAAAAAAGATTGGAGTGGATGTTATATTTCCTACGAAATGTAGTATAGATTCCATAGGAAAAATTTCTATGGAATTCAATCCTATGAATCAAAAGACCATTATAGGAAAATATCCTAAGGATTTCAATCCTTCAGAAATCCTATAAAATTCCATTGAATCAAAGGTGCCCTTAGCTTGTGGTGTGTCCAGGCTTTAGCAATCGGCTAGCTCCGCCCCTGCCCGTGACCGTGAACTTAGCAGTACTTGGGCCCTTGTCTCTTTCAGGGCCGAACCTAGAATCTGTACAGCGCCGCACCAGTTCAGTCGGCCCGCCCATGGCCGTTCTTTTCCTTTGTGGCGAAGGCACGGCACGGCGCACGAGCGGCAGTCGCACGCAGAGATCCCGGGCGCGGAGACCCAGATATACCACCTGTCCACCGGCGTATCTCGATCGGCTGCACTGCACTGCACCGCACTCCTCGCTTTCCCCTTTCCCCCGATCCTTTCCGAACGGACAAAAAGTAAACGCGCCAGCCGCCAGGCCCAGAGAACCTTCGCCCCATCGCCACTACCTCCGGTTGATTCTCCCCCGCCACCGCCCACCCCACCGCACCGCATCATTCCTCCTCATCCGTCGGCGATCGGCATAAGGCAGCGCTCCACCCGGTTCCATTGCAGAACCGCACTAACTCGTCGCGTGCCGGATCAGCTCCAGCCATGGCGTCGATGCAGGCTCCCGCGCCGGCGCCGTCGGGGTACCCGCCGCACGGCGGCCAGGCCCCGCGCCCGCACTCCACGGCCGTCGCCGTCACCGCGGCCAGCAACGGCGCCGGCAACCCCTACGTGCAGGTCACCCCGGCCAGCGCGTCCCCGTCCACCTGCCAGTGTGCGTAACTCGTCTCGTTCGATTCCTCTCTTCTCTGTACTCCCGTGTGCTCGTCGATCCTGACGTCGGCGTGCTCTTGCGCCGTGCAGCCATCATGAAGGCGCTGGGGCGGTACGGGAAGCTGCTGGAGGACGGCACCCGCAAGGCCGCCGACACCACCGGCGGCATCTGGAACCACCGTAAGTATTTCCTCCCTGCGATTCAGGTCCATCCCTGCCTCGATTCCTCGTCGATCGTGCACGCACACTGACACCGTTTTGGCCTCGCGCAGTCCGGACGGCGCCGAACATGGCGGACGCGGCGGTGGCGCGGCTGGCGCAGGGGACCAAGGTGTACGCGGAGGGCGGGCACGAGAGGGTGTTCCACCAGGTGTTCGGCGGCGTGCCGGGGGAGCAGCTCCGCAAGGCCTACGCCTGCTACCTCTCCACCTCCTCCGGCCCCGTCATCGGCACGCTCTACCTCTCCACCGCCCGCCTCGCCTTCTGCAGCGACTCCCCCGTCTCCTACCACGCCCCCTCCCCCACCCAGCCGCCCGAGCCCATGTACTACAAGGCAAGCATCCTCCCTTCTCTCTGTGCACCCCTCATCAGCATCAGTTCACTTCATACTCTCAGCAATCTCATTCACCGGCTGCGCTGCAGGTGGTGCTTCCGCTGAACCAGGTGAGGACGGTGAGCCCGTCCGCCAGCATGTGGAGGCCGTCGGAGCGGTACATCCAGGTGGCCACCACCGACAACCACGACTTCTGGTTCATGGGCTTCGTCTCCTACGACAAGGCGCTCAAGCACCTCTCCGACGCCCTGCAGCGCCGTCCCTGACCCATCTCCTTCCACTCCGTCCGTCCGCACCATCGCAGCTGCTATAAGCTCGAGTTCTTCGGCAGCGGCACTATCCTGTCACCGACTGATCAGTGTTTCTACTTCATTCCTGTACCGCAACTCGCCCCATCAGCAGTTCTTGCTCTGGAATAATTTATACTATAAGACACCAATAAACCTCCGTTGCCTGTCGTCGGTATCGCCAACCACTTTGCACCAAGAAAGTGTTACTACTAATCGATATATGCAGCGCCGGATATGGATATGAAAGCTCTTTCATACTCGAATTCGTTGCCGGATTGCTGCTCCCTCCGATCCATGTTAATTCTCGCAGATTTTGCGCAACTTTTAGTATGGATGCGGAGGGAGCAGTAGGTTTCTCACGCACACCAGCCTCTGCTCTGGGATTACAGAGCTTTGCACTGTATGTAACCCTGAACCTCGCATAGAATTACAATCTGCAGCTTGTACAGTACCATAGTAGTATTACAGTACACTTGGTACAAACATAATAGCAGAAGCTAGTCAAGTGCCTCACGAACAATTTACAACAACGTTACGTAGCAAAACTGTTGCCGTCGGCGTCGATCGATCTTGGTCTGTATAGAGTTCATCATGCATGGCATGGAGGAGGTATGGCGGACGGAGCTGTTGGTTTGTGCACGTGAACTCGCGACGAGCTCGGCCAATTGGTGGTGCGTGCGGTATGTGTGTGCGGGTATAATTGATGGATGGATGGATGGTGGGCCGGATCAATGGAGCGGCGCGGGCGTCCGCGGGTGCAGGCGGTCGTCGTGGTCGGAGCTGTCGACGCGGTTCTTGAGCGCGGCGAGGCGGCCCCGGACGCTGAGGTCGATGGTGTGCGAGTCGTCGAGGCCGTAGCAGACGACGAAGCCGGCGATGAGCGACGGCTCCACCACGTTCTCGATGGCGAGGTTGACGAAGCCGGTGATCCGGCGCATCTTGCGCGCGATGAGCTCGGTCTGGCGCGCGTCGAGCGCCACGGCGGACGACACGACCACGCGCAGCGCGTGCAGCGGGGGCGCGGCCGCGGCCACGCCGGCGCCCTCGCCGCCTTCCTCCGCGATGGACGTCATGCTGTCCCTGTCCAGCAGCGAGCGCAGGAAGTTGAGCGTGACCGGCTGGAACGGCGGCACGACGGCCTTCTGCTGCTCCGCCGCGCTCTGGACCGCGGCCTCGTCCGCGTGCCCGGCGCCGACGTAGCTGCTGCTGCTGGCCCGAAGCAGCGTCTGCGTCTGCCGCCTTGGGGCGCGGTGGGCGGTGCTGGGGCCGACGTCGAAGCGGAGCGACGCCGGCATGCCGCCGTCCTTGGCGGCAGCGCCGGCCGGGAAGGCCGCGTGGGCGCCGCCGGGGCCGATGGGCTGGTTCAAGATGTTCATTGGCGCGGCTGGGTGGGTGGCTGCTGGGGGTCGGTCGGGCGACGAGAGAAGCCAACAAGAATCGAGGTTTTGAAGCAGGAGTGCCGGACGCGAGGCCGGAGCAGGGGTGATACTGATAGTAGCTAGCTGCTGGTAGCCACAGCTGGGAGGAGATAAGGTGAGGTCGAGGTAGGGGCGAGAGTCGGGGAGGGAAGGCGAGAGAATTTGGCGTGAACACGATGCGGCCCCGGCAGCCGCACACGCCCCATCCGGAGGAATCTGCGTGCCGCGCCCGCCCAATCCCGTGTGCTGGTCATGTGGCCCCCGCGCCCCCCGCGCCGCGCGACGAGCCGTCCGTCACGTTTTTCTCGGCATGAATTATTCACGGACACGAGAACATGACTATATTTTGTGGTGGCTGCCACATGCCGTGCTGCTGCCTGCTGGCGACGGCTTAGAGCATCTTCAGCTGACCCTGTATAAACGCCCCAACCCGTAAAATAATTGTCAAAATACGGATCCGCGTGAAAAAATCTGTCCAATCAGACCCTGCAAATGCGTCAGACCCGTAAATATTTTTGCGGGTCGCTGCAAAATTCCCACCCCAAGTCGAAAAAACGCAGGTTCTCCCCCTCGCCCCGTCGGTGCCCTGTATATAGCGGGAGCGGTTGGCGGGGGGCGACATTTCAGCCCGCTTTTTTCCCCACCCACCGTCGTCGGGCCGCCACACGCCCGAGATTATCCTCCACCACTTCCTCCTGCCTCGGCCGGTCGGGAAGTTGCAGATCGGCGGCTGTTTGTCGCAGCCGCCGGCGGCTGCGCCAAACCATGTATTGGTCGGGGAGCACCCCGCACAACCCCAACAAAGCCCAGCGCTGCATGCGGGTACTGTTTCGTCCTCTAGCCGTCGTCGTCGGTTTGTCGGCAAGGACTCGGCTGGCCGGCTGGCGGCTCGCTAGCTCGCCGATGCCGCTCATGCGGTGCTGCGGCTAACATCTAGCACGCCGCAACACCCCGGATGGGTATTCTTCAAATGCAAAAACGACGTGGTATGTTCTTGTTTTCATTCGGCTTTGTCGACCTATTCGGTTCGATTTTGGTAGCTTATTGAGATGGTCATGTGTGTAGGAAGGTGGGTGCTCATTTTGGTATTGGAAAGAAGAATACATCGATTTATTGATTGAAAAAAACTTAATAGATGTTCGTGCACTCGTTATTAGAATTGAGGCTAATAATGCGGCTGCATGTGCAATTAGAGAAGAAATTAGAGAGGAAGCAACATCTACTTCTTTAGAATCAAAATAAGAAGAATGAAGAATGCGCAGATCAACAATGAAGGCATGGAGAAGATGTTGGTCCAACTAGTGGGAGCAGTTATGAAAGTTGAATATCTTTTGAAATGTCTAATCAATAATTTATATTTCAATTGTTTTAAATGCATTTTGCGGGTCTGCTTGAGACAGATGCTCTTAGAGCCGTTCCTGCCCTGCCCGCCCTGCCTGCCGTGTTGTGCTTCTCTCTCTTTTGGAAGAAAAAAGACCTTTTACCGTGGCTGCCGTGCTGCGGCGAGCAGAGCGCGAGGCACACCACTCCACGTCTCCCCACTGGTAGTACCCAGCCCAGCGACGGCAGAACCCAGCGATTTCATGCCTGTCCTACGAGTGGAAACAAACACTTCGTGTCGTGTGTGTGCTGTTTCACACAACAACTCCCAACCATGACACATGCATCGTGCTAGTAGTACGCTGCCTTTGCTGCGCTTGAGCTGTGATGAACTGACACGAGAAGAAACAAAATCATGGTGAGTTGGTGAGCAAGAGCTGAGAGGAACCAACAGACGAATTGATCAAGTGAATGCCACGCGCGCCCAGAAACTGGATGTCATGTGCTGCTTGGCCTTTTTCGGCGATGCACGCCCTGCTGCCATGGATCCAAGCGGACGGACGGCTCTGGGATCGTCCGGTGCCTAGATACTGGTCTCCACAAAACCAGAACTGGAGCTGGCTGGACTAGCTGTAAATTAAGCTGCACTAAGAACATTAGCTGCAATTCCCCCAAAAAAGGTAACCTCCAGCTTTGGACCTAGCCGCCACCTCCAAAAAACCCTAGTTTTCTGCCTCTCACCGGCGCCGGCGCCGGTCCATCCTGTCTCCGGTGGCCCTATGGCCATGGAGGCGGGGTGGATCTCGGCCCTTGCCGGTGGGAGGGCTTCGTTTTTAGATCTTTTTTTGAGTTTTGCTAGGGTTTGTGTCATTCTCAGGAAGGCGAGACGGTTCCGGTGATGCATGTTGCATCATCGATGGGCGTGTGGAGTTGTGTCTCCGACGGATCTGTTTTTGGTGGATTTGTTCGGATCTGTTCGTCGTTCGTCTTCGTTCGTGTTTTCAGGTTGGATTCTTTTGATCTACACACTTCATCCGCGGCGGTTGCTGTTCTGGTGTGTTGGTTCTACGGGGCCTTAGCACGACGACTTCCCGGCTGTCTACTACAACAAGGTTTGCCCGGCTCCGGCGATGGAGGGGTGATGACAGCGGCGCGCCTTCGGCTCGCTTCAGTGCTTGTAGTCGTCGCTAGGTGGTCTACGGATCTATATGTAATTTTTATTATTTCTAGTGCTCGTTGTACTACCATGATTGAAGATGAATAGATTGAAAGTTTCCCCCCCAAAAAAAACAAGAGCATTGGTCACTATAACCCCAAAGATGGGCCTCTTCTCCGGCGCCAGCGGCAGCAAGGTCAAGGGCAAGTCCCTCGCCACCCCTTTCCCATCCGAGTTCCTCCCACCTCCGCCGGCGCCTCGTTGGCAGAGGCAGCGCGTCAACGTGCCAGTGCATCAGGTGGCGTGGCACTGGCAGAACCGCCAGCCTCTGCCGTATCCGGACATGACGCTGCCGCACGACTGGCATCTGGATCCAGATAGGATCCCAGTGCCAGCGGCGCCGCAGACGACTCATCCTCACGTGGAGGAGGTGCAGCGCCGGCGGGCGCTGCTGATGCCGGAGCAGCGCCTCGACAAGGCCTACGCAACCGACTCGCCCAACTGGGTGAGGTGGTTTGCCTTGGAGCACGAGGAGACGAGGCGACGGGGCGTGCGCGAGGTCGACCGGAGGTCGCCGCCAACGCCGCTCGTCGTCCGCGAGGAGGACCAGGCGACGGAGGACGCCTACCAGTCGGCCCTTGCGGCCGTCTACCGGGAGAACGAGGAGGACGAGCGGCGCAGAGCGGAGGCGGCGGATGCGGAAGAGGAGGCCCAGTACGAGGCGGCAATGCGGGCGACAGCGTGGTGCCGCCGGTGGCCCCGCTGTCCCCCATCAAGCCGGAGCCGCAGCCGGAGCCCGAGCCCGAGCCCATCGCGCACTTCTCCTGGAACGGAGTGGTGCGCGAGTGGGTGTCCGCGCCACCGGTTTGGCTGGGGGCGACGCCGACGCAGGAGCAGGCGTACCTCGAGATGTGGCGCCAGCGCTGGCTGGCAGAGGAGCGCCGTCGCGGCGAGTACGAGGAGATGCTCGAGCGTGACCTCGAGGAGGAGGAGCGCGAGGCCGAGGAGGAGGCGCGCCAGGCCACAGCTGCACACCCCCGCCCCGGCACTGCCTGCGCCAGCACAGCCCGACATGACGGCGCTCTGGAACACGGCGTTCGCCTGGGCCGGGCCGGCGCCGACGCTCATCGACCTCACGGACCCCGAGGACGACGACGACGACGCCTAGGGCAGCGCGCCACCTCGTAGTTTAGGCTGTTTTTTTTAAATGCAAATGTGGACGCGTGGACTCTCGCCGGCCTTCGTGGCCGGCTTTAATGTTTAATTAATGTTGTTTCTCTTTTTTTTAATATCCATGCGTTCATTTTTTTTGGCGCCGTCAAAACGGGTCTCAGGCCAGCGTTGGGTGCACGCGCCGACCCAAATGCGAAAACGGGCATCCGTGTCTGTCTGACCGACCAAAACGGACAAAAAGCGGACGAAATCGTCGTCCGTTTGAGTCGGCCCGTTGGAGTTGCTCTTAGAGCCGTCCCTGCCCTGCCGTGTTGTGCTTCTCTCTCTTTTGGAAGAAAAAAGGCTTTTTACCGTGGCTGCCGTGCTGCGGCGAGCAGAGCGCGAGGCACACCACTCCACGTCTCCACTGGTACTACTACCCAGCCCAGCGATTTCATGCCTGTCCTACGAGTGGAAACAAGCATTTCGTGTCGTGTGTGCTGTTTCACACAACAACTCTCAAACATGACACAGGCATCGTGCTAGTAGCACGCTGCCTTTGCTGCGTTTGAGCTGTGATGTACTGACACGAGAAGAAACAAAAATTATGGTGAGTTGGTGAGCAAGAGCTGAGAGGAACCAACAGACGAATTGATCAAGTGAATGCCACGCACGCCCAGAGGCTCGATGTCGTGTGCTGCTTGGCCCTTTTCGGCGACGCACGCCTGCTGTGCTGCCACGGATCCAAGCGGACGGCTCTGGGATCGTCCGGGTGTCTAGATACTGGTCTCCACAAAAACAGAACTAGAGCTGGCTGGACTATTTGCTGTAAATTAAGCTGCCCTATGAACATTAGCTGCACTTCCAACCAAAAAGGTGAGTTGTAAAACTGTTACCGCAACAACAGCATTGGTAGCAACACTATAACCGCAATCCTTTCAATCATTAGCAGGACAAACATGGCGATCGATCGCCAAAGAATTTCCCATATTATTTGGGTTCAACACCTGATTCTATGTGCTTAAGAAGTGAAGATGCAGTTCGAGAAAAAGAAGTGAAGTTGCAGGCCTCCTTACTTGCAATATTAGTACATTTTACAACATTTTTTAAGAATAAACTGAGATAAAAGTTCGGGTTCGTGATGGCCAATATCTATTCTCTACTTGCAATATCACAGAAAACAGAACTAAAAATTCAGACATAGAACTGACAAATGATCTTCATATTAAGCAGATGCTACTTTCTAGGTGCAATTATCTTATATGCTGCCAAACAGTTTGCACTTCTTGGCACAGGGATTGTGGATTTATTGACCATTTTGTGGACAAGG